CACGGGCTATGGGGAGTCTTTGTTTACCTTTATTTTCCATTTCACAATGCAATTTCTGTATAAAACCACACCGGACGGACACTCTCACTGTTTACTTTACTTTAATCAGTTACGCAGTTGTTAAACTCCACAATATATATATACAATCTGTAATATTTCCATGTCTTTTTTAAAATGTTCCATGTTTATAAAGTAGAGATATTGGAATTTGAGTAAAATAAACCAGAAATGTTATGTTTGTGAAACAGGACAGGAATTACAAGAAAGAATTGACCTACGTAGGGTGTTCTGCCTCTGGCATGAAGAAATAATAGGCTAAACTACCTGCAATATCAAAATCAGCCACAAGATGGAGCTGAAGAGCAGACAGCTCTATTAACAGCAGCTTCACTACTGTTTTCCTTTAAAGGAGAACTATTGGGTCAGGGCTTTTCCCCATAGTTCTCGTTAGGGTAACGGGAGGACACAAACTAGAGTCCTCCCGCCAACCTAAGCTCAGTATACTGAGACGCCGCTACAGCTCGCGGTATACTGAGACGCCGCAGCTGAAGCGGATCGCGACAATTATGTCTGGAATCCGCGCAGCTGCGTGAGTGACAGCTGGCTCTGCCTATCTAGAGGCAGAGCCAGCTGTACCCGCCCCCTCCCCCGTCCGTTCCGCCAATCAGCGCTGGAGGATCGGAGCGGGGAGGGGGGAATCCAGCCCCTCCCCCTGTCACGGCAGAGAGCCGTGACAGGATCGAGAAGTGAGCGAACGCCGGTATGTGTTCGCTCACTGTGACAGTCGCATTGTCACAGGTCGGCTAGAACTATGAGGTGAGTGAAAAGCACTCACCTCATAGTTCTCCTTTAATAAAAAGAATCTCCCCACATGCCTCTGCCCAAAGAGAAGGAAATAAGTCCATCTTGGGAGTTCAGGTTCCATTTTAGAAAGAGGAATCCATTGCCATCCACAGCACATGTCTGGAGGAAAGAGCCCAAATCATTCTTAGGCAGCATCGCTGGTATGAATGGACTGGTTTCTCTCCCTATCTGTGAGCTGACACTGTATTTACATGTTTTCTATACTGATTGTATGTTTCTATGTTCCTTCACCAGTTTCACTCCGCCGTGTTTTGTTAATAAAGCATCATGATTTCACTCAAACTGGCTTATTGCAGGGTGTGACGGACCCCAGGTACCCCGACTGGGTACCTCCGCCAAAGAGTGTCTCCTGCCCGCCAAACCCCACTCTCAGCCAGCAGATTCGCATTTAGCTGCATGTTGTCTATAGACAGGACACTGGGCAATGTATAATGGGAAAAAAACATAGGCACACCAAAGAAGAACACACAGATGATGATTACTACACAATGGTGGGGCATTATTTATTGCAACCAGACCCCTGTATGGAAGATATAAATGTTTTGGTTCTTAAAAGGAACCTTAAAAAATACTCAGGAAAGGGAAACCTTTGAACTACGAATGATAATTCTGTGTGACGCAGTGATAATGGACTGGAACGTGGCCATCAGCTTTCTAAATTACTATCAAATAGCTTTATGACTATTCTCAGCTCTGGGCATCTTACCCCTCCCTCCAATTCCATAGATCACGTCTATACTCCTTATCTAACGTCTTGCTTTTATTACTCTGTGTGCGTATTTTGTTTTTTTTACAGAGATTGCTGTCTCTTGCACATATTGCTAAACCATTTTGTATCAGCACTGCTTGGACTGAGAAGAAGAGGGTAGACAACAAAAGCTTGTCCTGAAAATGTAACTGGCAATGGAAATAGAAAAGCATCACAGGGAATGCTCAGTTGTGTTGTTGTAAGTACGCTATGCGGCTACAATGATTTTAAAGGGTATCTATGGTCAAAAACTAAAAGTAAATCTGTATTTCTATATTGAGTTTCCATAAGTTATATCCCACTCTTAATAACCATATCCATCTAGAGCCATGGTGTTAGAGGCTCCTTGGCCTCCCCCTAGCACAGCACAGAGCACAGAGCAGCCATTCAAAGTTTGCTCCTTGGCGCTGAGTGTTAGCTTAAAGTGAAGTGGGCTGGGGCTATGGCCGTGAGAGAGCTCCATCCATACCAGTGGCAGAACTACCGCCGGTGCAGGGCCTCAGCCTGGGGGGGCACAGCACAGTCCCTGTGCATAGATGGTGGGACTTGCCAGATGCCGGATAGCACCGGATCGGTATCCAGCAGCCGGCGGGCCCCCAGTATCTGCACTGGGAGTGTCGGATCATCCGTTCATTCGACACTCCCGGCGCAGAAAAATCTCAGCAGTAATTTATACAGAAATGCTATTGTTATATAAAGTATTGCTGGGAGTTGTAGTCCTTTATAGCCTGTGCCATTCTGCATTGCTGTAAATATTAGGGCTGCACCGATATATCGGCCGCCAAAACATTTCGGCCGAAAATGGCACTTTTAGCTAAATGCCGAAAGTGCAATTTTCTGATGATCGGGAAAAATCCCTGCTTTCTTTCCTCCCCGCTGGGTGCTGCTCTGTGTCCCAGCGGGGTGGAGAGAAAGTGTGACAGCCGGCCGAGCGTTGCGGGTGGAGAGCGCTGTGTTTGAGGTTTTTTTTGGGGGGGGGCCCAAAAAATCTTGCACCAGGGCCCTTTGTTCCTTAGGTCCGCTACTGATCCATACGTACATTGCTTACAGCTCCCTTGTGTGCCCTGTAGAGGTGCCTGGAGTGAAATAATGTCAGATTCTGGCTCCCGCCACCTCTACAGGGCACACAAAGGAGCTGTACAAACAATGCACATATGGATGGAGCTCCATCACAGCACAGCAGCACACACTGGACCCCAGGCTGAGGATCCACTTCAGTTTTTTGGAGTGTATATGTGTGAGTATGTCTGTGAGTATGTGAGATTCTGTCTGTGGTTGTGTGTGTCTGTCAGTGTTTTTGAGGACCCATTCACACTAGTACAGGGCATTAATCACATGGTCCTACCACACAATCGCACCTACTGCACATTCTGGTGTGGTAGGTGTGCTGCCATTCATTTGACTGGCACCCCAAAAATTACATCCTGCCCACAGTTCATCACCCGCATCGGAAACATGTGGTACCGCAATGCCATACGTTCCGTTGTAGTGCAACTTGGGTCGCCACTTAATGACCAAGGACAAACGTGGGTATTAAGGTTACAAAGATTAAAACCCACTGACCAAGAGTTTGGTAAACTTGCTTATTGAAGACTCTCATAGGAAGAACTCCCTCAATGCACTGGCACAATGCCACTCCTGGAATCGGCACTCTCACAGAGCCTGCGTTCTGAACTACAACTCAACATCTAAACAATATAACATTATCATTGCTTGCTGGAAGGGATATGATGGGATATGCAGTCTTGAGAAATTGAGATTGCACAAGCAGCAGAGAAAGAGACGCAAAGCACTCGGGGTAGCCAGTCATCGAAAGTGATAGGCAGGCGGAAGGCAGCACTCACTATAAAGGGATTTTTTTTAAAGCATGTAAGTTTTTATTGAGGTTACATAAAGAAGATAATTGATTCAAGTGACATTTCAATATGAATACAGCAGACATCATCAACCGTATTATTAATCACTGGAATGGCATTTACATATGCAGTACAGGAAACTATACAAAGGTGAAACCATTTATGTGAGCATGGATAAGAGCATTGCTTGATAACCTGTCTCCAATACATTCCTTCCGATTCAATTGTAGCTGTTAAGTAGATATGGGATAAAGTAGAAGAGCTAACAAGAAGAATAATTAACTTTGTGTATGTGATGTCACACAATATCATATCGGAGAAATAATACATGAGATGTCGGGGGCAGAGATACCAACGATGCACCAAGAGCAAGGCCATTTTTTTGGGAAGGGAAAGGTAAGTGTCAAAGAACATCTAGATCTCCTAAAGTACCAGTGAGGAGTTTCGCTTCTAGGAACCATTTTGAGAATTGAAACATGGTCATAAGAGCTTTGAGCTGATCCAGATTTAGTTCCAATACCGCAAAGTGGGACCAAGTGTTAAAAAAACAGTCTACCTTACATAGACCAGAGATGGTGACTAATTTGTCCATTAACATGAGGCGATGAAGAAGTGTTGTCATTGCATCGGTAGTAGGGGCTGTCGGTAATAGCCAGTTAGTCAAGATAGCTTTCTTGGCGGCAAGTATACAAAAGTGCTCCCACCTCGATAAGGAGGGGGACAATGGTGACTTTGCTATAGGGGCATGGAAGAGACATATGTCTGGGGCCACCGCTCGGTGTCTACCGGAGCAGGAGTTTGTATATTGAATCACCTCGATCCAGAAAATTTGGATGGCAGGAAAAGGGATTTTTTTTTTTAACATGAACTGTGGTTGCATTGTCAAAGACAACTATATTATTAGACTTATATAACCTAGAATGAATTTACGGGGTTCCCAACTCTATTCAAAACTTTAAAAAAAACGGTTTTGGCCCTACATTATTATTATTATACAGGATTTATATGGCGCCAACAGTTTGCGCAGCGCTTTACAATATAAGGAAGACATTACAATCACAATACAATTCAAGACAAGATGGTAAGGAGGGCCCTGCCCCTGAGGGCTTACAATCTAGAAGGGAGGGGCAAGTGATACATGAGGAGGTAGCTGTGTGGGGATGAATTGTTTGAGAACGTGATGGTTGAGTGGTTAGGTTGAGGTGGGATAGGCTCCCCTGAAGAGATGAGTCCTAAGGGATCACCTAAAGGCAGTCAGAGTGGGAGATAGACGGACAGGTTGGGGTAAAGAGTTACATGCAATTTAGCTTGAGCTCCTGAGGACAAAAATAAGGAAGATGCCCTTGTTGAATTGGTTTTAAAGGTGCAGGAGTCAGAGCTGACATCTTGATCCTATTTTCACTGCCTTTTTGTGTCACTGACCTGAAACAACCCGCAGGCCGGGAGTTCATTGTTTTCAGGCTTCAATGGTTGCATGCCTATGCAGCGGCTTGCACTTCAAACTTGACTGACAGATTGGAAAACATGTAGGACTACTGAATACCTCCATTTATGTCATATGTTGTCTTATGTAATGACTTCCTCAGAGCCATCCTAATTTCCTGATTACGTAAACTGTATATAATCGGGTTAAAAAGTGGCGTCACTATTATGTATAACAAAGAAAGAACTTTGCTCACACTGGGTGAATGACCCGCTGTCGGAGAAAGATACACGCTAATTAGAGTTCCATAATACAGGCCTACAACAGCCAGGTGGGAACTGCAAGTGGAAAAGGCTTTCTGTCGCTTGTCGTGTGACGATATCCTCAAGATGGCAAAGGATATGAAGATATAGGTGACGACAATGAAAATACATGGCAAGACAATAACAGGAACTGAAAATATGAAGGCTTGAGTTTTCACCACGGTCGTGTCCGAACAAGAAAGATGTAATATGGGGGCCAGATCGCAAAAGAAGTGGTCTATTACGTTGGGTCCACAGAACTGCAAATTATAAACCAGAAGGGTAATAAACAAAGTTACCATAAGGCTAATTATCCAAGACCATACTGCCAGGTTGAGTTGAAGCTTAAAGTCCATGATGGAGATGTACCTTAACGGGTAGCAAATGGCCAAGTATCGGTCGAAAGACATTACGGTGAGAAGAAAACATTCAGAATTGGTTATAGCCGAGAAGATATAAAACTGAGTCAAACATGCGGAAAACGACATGGAGTCCCCATCTTTCAAGATGACGGAAAGCATTTTGGGCACAATGTTGCTGGTGGAAATGACTTCAGACGAAGATAGGAGGCTGAGGAAGAAGTACATAGGGGTGTGCAGTCGGCGGTGAACTGACACCAAAACTACAATCACTAAGTTCCCCGTTAATGTCACAGAGTAGACCAGAAGGAAAATAGTAAAGAGCAAAGCCTTCAGATGATGAGTGTTCTGAAAACCTAGAAGCAGAATTTCTGCAATCCTTGTCTGGTTTGGATCATACATATTACTGGAGAAACTATTTCACCGGTCCTGTAACAGAAAACAGTTACTGCTGAATAAGAAGTGTTCAGAAAGTATGTATGTACTTGGTTCCATCATTTAACCGCTTGTAAATTTTCTGCACCTTGGACTGTGGAGGCAAGGTTGGACTACCTGCAAGGTGACCTAGGTTGACACTTAAGACCTTGTAGGTTGAAGGTGGACTGGCCCTTATCACTTTGGTAAAGGTTTCAGTTAGCTTTGCTGCTCACTTGCCTTGTTGATGACTTAGTGCACTGCTTTAGACATTGAATAGTGGAGCACTGCTGCCCTGGTGGACATCCTGTGGCCCAGGACCTGCATACAACCCTGTGGAACCTATAGTGCTGCCCTCAGGACCCTGCAGACAGAAGTCAGAAGACAGAAATAGTTAAAGGTCTGGTTTATTTCTTTCACGTTATCTCATTCTTTTTTCTGTGCTGCCCGTCTTTTTTTTATGTTTTCTCCTCTTTTATAATGGACTTTAATAAAAGAAATATTAAATATGGCACAATTAACCCCTTCATGACTGAGCTAGTTTTTAGTTTCTGTTCCTAAATGACTGACACACTTTTTACATTTTTGCTGTGTGATTCTTCCACAGCAGCAAGTTTTGATTATTATTATTATTTTTAGAATTTTTTTAATAATAATTATAGTATACAAATATATTTATATATAAACGTTTTATTTTCCTAATTTTTTGTACAAGTGGCCAGTCATATAGCCACTTTGTGACGGGACGTACACTGTACGTCTCCCGTCATGAAGGGGTTAATTTTTGTGATGGCTGCAGGAAGCACAAATGTGGAAGTATTTATTTGGGAAGTTGCCTAAGCATTGAACGCTTGTAGTCCTATGTGATGTGTGAAAGCCTATGGCTCCTGAAAATGTCCCCAGTCTTCAACAACTCCTATAGCATGTCCGTAGTCTCTGACAGCTTTCTCTTGCAATGCATGACACTGAATATAACGTGCAGCCCTTTAGTGATGTCAGGGGCCACACTTGAGGCCCCTTATATTAAAGTGATCCTAAACTCAGGAGTTACATCTTAAAAATGCATTCAAGTCCCTTAACTATGAACAACAATGTATCTTATGTGTGTATCACTCGGCTGTAGATCCTCCAATCATCTCTGAATTGGTGCCGACACTGTCCTTCCTTCTGGAGGGGGGCTACTTGTGTTCTCCACGGTCCCTGTGTGTGTTGTAAAGTAGTCACCGCTCTAAGCTCACTCATGTGATTGACTACAATGTCACTACAAATTATTAAACTAAATATGAGATTAGTCACCTAATTAGTCACAGATATGAAGTAGTCACCACTCCAAGCTCGCTCCCGGGATGGACTACAATCTCTACAAATGAGTAAACTAAGCGAATTATTCACTTAGCCGCTGAAGGCAGCCGAGTGAATAACCGAGCCGAAGTGAGGAAGCCGTCCGACTCAGCCGATCCAACATCTGGATAGGCTGAGCCAAAACCTTTGGCAACATCTGTCCATTCGTCCCTATTCTCATATGGGTCGCACAGCAGTGAGTGAATAGCTGAATGCTGCCAAGCGGAATCCGGCTCGGTTATTCTACTCACTACCTCTGAGGTAACGAGCATTAAACAAAATGTAAACAAGAGAAAAAAAAAAGATAAGAAATTATTTTTTAAAATGTTAAAAAAAAGAAAAATTAAAAAAAAAAATGTATTTTTTGTTTTCAAAAACAGCGTGGGGTCCCCCTCTCAAACCATACCAGACCCTTTAGGTCTGGTAGCAATATTAGAAGGGACCCCTATTTTGCTTCCCCCAAAGGCATACCTGGCCATTTAGGTCTGGTAGGAATTTTAAGGAGGAACCCCCACCCCCCCAGAAAAAAGTGTTTCCCCTCAAATTCCTAATCAAACCCTTAATCCGAGGACAGGCCTGGCAAGGTAGGAAGGAGGGGTGAGCGAAAGGCCCCTCCTCCCTGCAATACCAGGCCACATGCCCCCAGCACTGGGAGGGTGCTTTTCCAGGGTTCCCCCTGGAAAAGGGTGGTTTACAATGTCCTGCTAGTAATTGTTTAACTTCAGAGCCGGACCTGACCTCAACACTTATACATGTATATAGCTCTGACATATACCGCAGTGCTGTACAAAGAACACTGAGCCAGTCACATCAGTCTCTGTACAGAGGAGTTTACACTCTAATGTCCCCTCCCCCCACAGTCACATCAGTCTCTGTACAGAGGAGCTTACACTCTAATGTCCCCGCACAGTCACATCAGTCTCTGTACAGAGGAGCTTACACTCTAATGTCCCCGCACAGTCACATCAGTCTCTGTACAGAGGAGCTTACACTCTAATGTCCCCGCACAGTCACATCAGTCTCTGTACAGAGGAGCTTACACTCTAATGTCCCCGCACAGTCACATCAGTCTCTGTACAGAGGAGCTTACACTCTAATGTCCCCGCACAGTCACATCAGTCTCTGTACAGAGGAGCTTACACTCTAATGTCCCCGCACAGTCACATCAGTCTCTGTACAGAGGAGCTTACACTCTAATGTCCCCGCACAGTCACATCAGTCTCTGTACAGAGGAGCTTACACTCTAATGTCCCCGCACAGTCACATCAGTCTCTGTACAGAGGAGCTTACACTCTAATGTCCCCGCACAGTCACATCAGTCTCTGTACAGAGGAGCTTACACTCTAATGTCCCCGCACAGTCACATCAGTCTCTGTACAGAGGAGCTTACACTCTAATGTCCCCGCACAGTCACATCAGTCTCTGTACAGAGGAGCTTACACTCTAATGTCCCCGCACAGTCACATCAGTCTCTGTACAGAGGAGCTTACACTCTAATGTCCCCGCACAGTCACATCAGTCTCTGTACAGAGGAGCTTACACTCTAATGTCCCCGCACAGTCACATCAGTCTCTGTACAGAGGAGCTTACACTCTAATGTCCCCGCACAGTCACATCAGTCTCTGTACAGAGGAGCTTACACTCTAATGTCCCCGCACAGTCACATCAGTCTCTGTACAGAGGAGCTTACACTCTAATGTCCCCGCACAGTCACATCAGTCTCTGTACAGAGGAGCTTACACTCTAATGTCCCCGCACAGTCACATCAGTCTCTGTACAGAGGAGCTTACACTCTAATGTCCCCGCACAGTCACATCAGTCTCTGTACAGAGGAGCTTACACTCTAATGTCCCCGCACAGTCACATCAGTCTCTGTACAGAGGAGCTTACACTCTAATGTCCCCGCACAGTCACATCAGTCTCTGTACAGAGGAGCTTACACTCTAATGTCCCCGCACAGTCACATCAGTCTCTGTACAGAGGAGCTTACACTCTAATGTCCCCGCACAGTCACATCAGTCTCTGTACAGAGGAGCTTACACTCTAATGTCCCCGCACAGTCACATCAGTCTCTGTACAGAGGAGCTTACACTCTAATGTCCCCGCACAGTCACATCAGTCTCTGTACAGAGGAGCTTACACTCTAATGTCCCCGCACAGTCACATCAGTCTCTGTACAGAGGAGCTTACACTCTAATGTCCCCGCACAGTCACATCAGTCTCTGTACAGAGGAGCTTACACTCTAATGTCCCCGCACAGTCACATCAGTCTCTGTACAGAGGAGCTTACACTCTAATGTCCCCGCACAGTCACATCAGTCTCTGTACAGAGGAGCTTACACTCTATATATAGTATATGCTGTAGGTATATATATATATTTATCCCAAAACACTAACCAACTAAAACAAAAGCACACATTTTTTTTAACTGTAGCAAAAATAGAATGGTAAAGCGTTAAATGAAAACACATATACTGTAAATCACATCAAGTTTGCAGGTTTGGCACACCTGCTGCTGCTACAAAAAAAAGTACAGTTCAGTCTATGGAGCGGTGATCACAGGGGTCTACATAAGTGTTTCACAGTAAAGCAATGTATAGAATAATGTAGACCGGTATGGAATAGTATAGCACTGTATAATTATTATTATTATTATTATTATTATTATTATACAGGATTTATAGAGCGCCAACAGTTTGCGCAGCGCTTTAGAATAGTATAGAATAGTATAGAATTATTTAGCACTGTGTAGAATCGTATAGCCTTGTATAGAATATTATAGCACTGTATAGCACTGTGTATAGAATAGTATAGCACTGTATAGCACTGTGTATAGAATAGTATAGCACTGTGTATAGAATAGTATAACACTGTGTATAGAATAGTATAGCACTGTGTATAGATTAGTATAGCACTGTGTAGAATAATATAGACCTGTATAGAATAGTATAGCACTGTATAGCACTGTATAGCACTGTATAGCACTGTATAGCACTGTATAAAATAGTATAGACCTGTATAGCAAAGTGTCTCTCCCTATACAGATTTTGCTGCTTCCGCTAACCAGGTCCAACACATACAATATGGCTGCTGAGAGCACACCCATTTAGGCCTCATTCACATTAGAAAAGGCCGGCACGTACAGCTCCGTGCTGCGTGCGGGGCCGTATCGCTCATCTTCCAGGAAGGACAGGTGCTGCGTGTGATTAGTACACAGCCCCTGTCCTTCTCTATGGGACTACTGGGCTATATGCCGCCCTACGCTCACCCAAAGTGCAGGTCCGTACGGGTGCGTGTTTCCTGGCTCGGACGTTCAGGGCGGGTGAGCGTAGGGCGGCGTAGGGCGGCGTAGGGCGGCGTAGGGCGGCGTACGGCCGCGTAGTCCCATAGAGAAGGACGGGGGCTGCGTACTAAATCACACACAGCACCTGTCCTTCCCGGGAGCTGAGCGATACGGCCGCGCACGCAGCACGCAGCTGTACGTACCGGTCGATTCTAGTGTGAATGAGGGCTGATAGTGAGCGGGTTTTCTCCTATATATATTAATAATAAAATGAATAATAAAAATAATATTAATAATAATTTAAAAAAATGTAAATTAAAATTAAAATAATAATACTCAGATTCTTGGCTCTCGGGGACCCATC